TACAAATTTGTCTAATGTGAAATTTCGCGCAGAATACTTGATGTATTAAAGAACAGTATCCTAAGTTATAAAAATCAGGTCTGAAGGAGATAACTTTGTCCAATTATTCATTAAAAATCTTATATATTTTCTAGTATGGATGTGAAGAAAATAAATTAGCGAACGTATTGTGTGTTTTAAAAACTTATATTTGTATAATGAACATGTTTTATATAGTACACATACATATGAATATACGCATATATACATATATTACGCGTAATGTTAGAGGAATCTTGATATTTTATGAAAAAGCCTTGTTAACAAAGGCGGAGAATTATATTACATCATTGAATGTATAAGAGGGATATCAACGAATTTTTAATTAATAGAGAATCTATCGCAAACGTGAATGCAACTTTGCTAACAAGTCGTATATAAATATACTATATATTTTATTTAAAATAGACTGTGAAACAAAAATTCTCGATGATGCGCATATATTTTACAGGTCGGTAAGACCGAATAATCGATAATTTTGATTATTGTGCTGAGAATATAATGCAGATAAATCGTAGTGTATATATTTCTAATGGATAGTACATATTTTTTAAAACGCCAACGCATTAATCTTTAAGTTTCGATTTTTTTATATTTTAGTTTTTATTACTCTTTCATATAACTTATGTATATTTGTGTTACTTATGTTTTAATATAAAAATGTTTTGTGTTTAACAATATATGGTATTAGTATTAGTATATCCTTGCGTTGAATATACATATAAAAACAAACATTACTATAAACAGAACTACCGAAAAACTTATACATCTTTATCATGAAATATTCGTACTATATTTGTATTATATCTGTATTATTGTACACTATATTGTATTAATCCGTATTACTATATAATCACTCGTTACATACCTAAAGCAAGTGCCTATACGTTTTCGGCATACTGTTATATGCATCGATTTTTTTTTAATTGTAGCATCATTTTTCATGTGTAATTCGATCAATACTGACGGGCAATTATATGTAGTGTGCGCAAACACGTATTAAATTAGCGAAAATTGCTCGAGATTATTTAATCAATCAACTGATTCATGACAACGTGAACTGTTATGTTTTTTTGAACGCTAGTTTTGTAAGTTAACTTGTCATATACATGTACATAACAAGCTAAATTGTGCAAATTAGAAACTTGCACATTGCTTTCTCATCATTTTATCTCACAAAGTTTAAGTTCCTTTAAGCATGCGAATTTTTCAATTTTTGCTTTCTCATAAAGGAAGCTTTGTGAACGAAATAAAAAGATAAAGAAGCAATCACTGATCCTCACTAAATTTAATACCAAACATCCTTTAATGATACTCTATTTATGTAAAAAAATTTAATCCGATATCTCAAAATTTGTGAAAGTTACAACGTATACAAGCATTTTCCAAAAATTCAAAATTTTATAAAAAATGAACCTTTTCACCGATTCTTACCAAATTCAACACCAACCATTTTTTAATAATATTCTATCCATGTAAAAAAATTTAAATAGATATCTCAAAAATTGCGGAAGTTAGCGGTTGCACAACAAATCGCGTACATACACACATACATACATACATACATACATACATACATACATACATTTCTTAAAAATATGATTTTTCGACGTTTTCAAACATTCTGAACATATTGGCATTAAAAATTCAAAAAAAATTTTGTCACGAAAACAAAGCTTCCTCTATGAGGAAACAAAAATATAACAAAATTGTTTTCTAATCGGTAGATGTTATATTTTTAGACGGAAATATGTGATCCGTGCGCTAGAAATTTTTGAAAGAAGAGATATTTTCAGGAATTGGCTTATTATTGGTTTATTAAATAGATTTTATACTTATTGTTAGCATTTTTGTCATGTTTTTTTTTAAGTACAGATTATTATTATCTGCAATGTCTTTGTTAAGTGAACATTACAATAATAGCGAATATTGTGATTCTAATACTCTATCGCGTGAATATGTTTTAGATCTTTGTAATTTTACTGTAAAATTAATCTGAAATTCAACCAATGGGTAATTTATTTAATATCGAAGTATATATTGTGTATAAAATGAAACAGTTCTACAATTTTCAATCGAAGATTCTAATTTAATAGAAATAGTGATAAAGATAAGTATATCACTTCACAATAGGACTTTATTTGTGAATTCGATCCTTTCGATAAGAAAGTAATTTATTTCTTGTTGTATATATTAGATGTATCTATCAATAAATCAATTAACGTAAAAGAAACTATTATATATGTATATCTAATTCTTGAAAGTATTTTATATACAGAGTGAGGCATTTAAATTGGGACACCTAAATATATAAAAAATAAAGCAAAATGAAAAGAAATGTATCAGACAAAAGTTGTAAAGTTTCAAAGGGGACATACGGTGGTGCTATTGGTTTGATCTTCGGGTGGAGTAAAATAAAGATCAACTTTTTTTTTTAATGTCCCTAATTTTTTAAACACCTATGTTTGTAGTCCTTCTCGTGACGAATTCAATGACTCGCACTCCAGGTCAAATGACCCAAGTAGAATTTATTAATATAATTTCTATCTTTTGAAAATTTTTTCAAAAATTTTTTCAACTTAATAATATGAAGAACGTGATGGAACACATTTCTCTCGGGATACACATGAACGAAATGACTAGTGTACATTTCCATTCTACAATACACTTGATTCTCAGCGTGCAACATAGATAGCATGACTTATATTGTTAAATAGAAGACGCGCGTTGCACACAATAATATTATTGTACGCAATAACATAACGCGCATTTTTTAGTCAATGACATAAAAGTCATTCAGTCGCTCGCTGAGAATCAAATAATGTAGCACAAAAGTGTACACTAGTTATTTCGTTTTTGTGTATTATTTAAGTAAGAACACTTTACTTGGTTAAAATGAAAAGATTATAATGTTCCATCACGTTCTTCATTTTTATTGAGTTAAGAAAAAATTTTCAGAAGATGGAAATATTTATAAACTCTATATTTGATCTCGAATAACCTTGAGTGTATGGTCATTGAATTCGTCACGAGAAGGGCTACAAACTAGGTGTTTAAAAAATTAGGGTCCTATTTAAAAAAAGAAGTTGATCTTCATTTACCTTTGACACTCCACCCGAAGGTCAAACCAATAGCATGTCCCCTTTGAAAATTTACAACAACCCTACAATATTTGTCTGAAACATTTCTGAAACTTTTCATTTTGCTTTATTTTTTTATATATTTAGACGTCTCAATTTAACACACACCACCCCCCTCTCTCACTCTTTCTCTCTTTCTCATTTTCTAAATATCTGTTAATGTTTCTCTTTTGTAATATTTTCTCATTATTTATTCATTATTATTTAATCATTATAAAATTTACAACTATCAAAAGATATCTTTTCTTAAAGTTTTGTCAACTACAATTTATATTAGAAAAATATATGTTTTCTAGATGTAACGCGACCATTTTGTCTTTTTTTAATAAATTCTTTTTATGCTACGTTTTTATTTCTTCTGCGCTTCTACACTCTTGTGTGTTAAAGCTATTTTATATTTTTATATTATTACTCTAATACTCTTGTGTGAGCGTTTTTTGAAAAAAACTTGAAAAATAATTACGGGAGTTGACATCTTTAGGAAATTCAGAAGGAATTCAGTTTATCTCTCTCTCATTATTTAAAAGAGGTCGATGTCCGTGGAAGTGTATTCATGTAACGGATGGGAGAGATAGAATGTCAATAAAGAGGGGCGAGGAAACAGGAAAGTGCTCGAGACAAATTTTTAGTTTAATACGACGACACGTTCTGAAAACGCGTTATCAAGTGTCTTTTTAATGCAAATTATTTAATAATCCGGCATAATATACAGGGTGCCCCAATTTAAATGTCAAAACTTTAGGAGCGTGTAGGGGACCAAAAAACTAAGACAGAAAGTCCTTTAGAGATTTGCTCGTTTTTGCTTCGTTTTGAAAAAAATTTATCAAAAAGTATTATAAAATAAAAATTGTAGAACATGGAATTAAGAAAAGAGAGTGAGTTAAAATCCTCCTGAGGTAAAATTAGAGGATTATAAATATGTAGATAAATACGCGACAATGCGAAATTTTGTTTTTAATCTAATTTTACCTCAGTATATATAATTTTTAAATAATCCTATATACAAAATGTTCTGGAACCATCAGATATTTTCTTTAATTAACAAATTTTCTGGCCAATTTGGAGACAATTTTTCCGCGACGAAAATGTTGAGGAAAGGTATCATAATATTTTGCAAGTTTTCAATTTTTTTCATTATGTGTGTATTTTTGTAGCTAAATCTTGAACTAAAAAGTTCCCTTTATTAAAGTAAACTCCACCTGAAACTAACTAAAAAAATGTAGTTTTGTTAATTTATTAATTCTCTCTCTCTCTTTTTCTATCTATCTATCTCTATCTCTCTATTCTCCTTCTCTCCCATCTCCCTCTTACCTTCTTTTTCCCCTATCCCCCTCTCCCTCTCTTTTTCGTATTCTCTGCAAAAAATTTAATTCGTGAAAAACTCTTCTTTTTCACGATCGCTTATAACTCAAAAATGATTAATTCCTCGACATTTTCGCTAAGGAAAAATTATTTCCAAATTCAAAGAATCTGTTATTAAAAGACCCCCCTATAATTTAGAGAAGCTCTGTTATATAATATTATATAATATTATATATGTACGTAATATAGAATACAGATAAGTAATAATTAAATTAGATAATAATAATTCAACAACTAATTTCATTTTTAAGTGTATTTATTAAATGAAATTTAGTGTACCATTTGTGTGTATGGAACGAAAATTCGGGGACCGACATATGTCAATCCAGTCAAACTGACGCTGGGCGATTCGGAAAGACTCGTGCGTTCTCGGTGACGGTCGGGCCGCTGGCGCGCGCTGTGTGTGTATGCTTCTCTCCGTATTCCTTATTCCTATTCCTATCTACCTACTACCTACTACCTACGCCAGACGCCAGTGTCAGCAGCCAGTGTTCGCTGCGACTCCGAACGGGTGGGATGTTGTCGCGCGCTTAACTTCAGCTGGCTGAGATCGCAGAATCCCAAAAACGTTTTTTCCGAAACGCGCATCGCAACTCGCAACTAAGTCGTTTCTAGTCAGTATCAGGTATCGTGCGTTCGTGTTTGCACGACGACATCGAATAAGAAAATCGCTGATTGTGATCATCGAGAGTACCGTCGCACGTTGCGAGCCGCATTGTGTCACGGTGTGTACAGAGCATATACGCGAATCGCCGGCGCTCGAAAGGGACAAACGGTTCGAAAGAGGAAGTGAGAGAGAAAAAGAGAGAGAGAGAGAGAGAGAGAGAGAGAGAGAGACCAGGCGGGCGTGAAAGAGTGACAGAGAAGCATCGACCGAGGTCGCTGTCGCGGAGAAAGGAAAGGCGGAAGGATTATATATTCGGACAAACATGGCCACTGCGATCGACGACCGGCAGGAGCTATTGGAGCAATTTCAAGCGGTGAGTATATTGTTGTATCTTGTATCCTCGTGAAAAATTTGCGCTTCTCGGATCTTGCGCCAGAGTGATAACGCATTTTCCTCTGTTTTCTGCGGTCTTAGCTACCGCACGAGGTCTCTTATCGATCGCCGGTTTTATCAATGTGGAAACCTATCTACTCTCTAGATTGCGTTCCCAATCCTTGGAGTAGAATAGCGTTTGGTTGACCAATCAGAATAAAAGAAATTTTTGTTTCTTTCGTTCTTATTAGTCAATTGAACGCTATTCTGTTCCAAGAAGTAAATTTTCGAACGCAACCCTGTAGAAGCCGCGCCGGTTGTCGCCGCCCTGTCAATCACAGGTGCTGGTCCGCGCCTTCTGCGCACCTGTGAATCAGAGCTGCAATCGAGAACGTCCTTTTGAGCTGAATCATATTTCGCGTTAGGTTAATTAGCGACGTGGAATATGCCGATCTCTCACTTCTGACTTGTATGTTAGAGATTAACGTGTGTCATCATTTGATCATAAGATCAAATGATCAGTTGGCCATATCGCAGGGCCGAATATATTTAAAAATTTTAGTTTCTTTAAAAAATTTTGATTTTATTAAATTAAATAATTACATTGAATTACAATAAAATTAATCGGACCATTAATTAAACGAACAAATATATTATACATTTAATGTTCGTTTATGTGCGATGTGACGCAGCAATTTGTAGAAGTTTTATCAATGTATTATTTTTCGTTTATGCATCTTTGGACAATGCAGTTGAACAAAATTTTATGATATATAGATTAAATATTATTACTCACTGATAATATATGACCTGCGCGCGGAGATGTAGCGTACATACTTTGTCGATTTAATAATATTTTTTTTGAACACTGTTGGGGCAATTGTAAACATAGATAGCGATATCGATAAAAGAAACAACAAGGCTTATTGAAAATGAGATAACAAAAAATTATACAATGAATATATAATAAATAGTTCCTTTCAGTTATACAGTGATTAATAAATAATAGTTCTACGATATTATAAGCCTAATATAAAAATTCGAAAATTATTAGCAACAATTTCTGTAATTAAGAAATTTAAATAATATTGTACTCACTTCTGACTTGTATGTTAGAGATTAACGTGTGTCATCATTTGATCATAAGATCAAATGATCAGTTGGCCATATCGCAGGGCCGAAAATGAAAAGGTAGACGTCGCCCACGATATTTTAAGCTCATAAAACTCGTATAATATGTAAAATATTTATATTAAATCATATATCATTGTATTCGTTTCAAACAGCGCTACAATTTTTATTGTGTCGAAATATCCATATTGTTATAAAAAATTTATGCATACTTTTTTTTTCATTAACACAGATAGCTTTATTTAATTAATCAAACTTAAATTTGAAATTTAAATTTAAAATTAAATTAGTTAAATAATGTAAATTATACATTATTACGAATAATATAAATTAGTTATTATTATAATAATTCAAATTGTGTTATTAAACAAATTCCTCAAATTTAAATTTATCTTCACACAAATCAGAGATAACAAGTGTTACTTATAATTTAGAAGTCCAAATCTATATTTTATACATTATAAAGTAAATTGGGATGGAGGAAGAAGGGCGGCAGGAGAGACAGCCAATCTCTGTATGTAAACATTCTCTAATCGTAGCTTCGTTTTTCGGCGATATTTGTCTTTTGTGTTATCATCAACAAATCTGGCGATTTTTTTAATTATATTTTATCTCGTGTGGAGATGAATAAGAGAAATCAAATATGTTTGCTACAATTTTTGCAAATACAATTGGAGAATCTCGTTGTTACTCTATTGTATTCTATTCTTTGTGATAGACTTTTCACGGTTGATCGGTGCGAGCGCTTGTAATCTGCTTGTGAACTGCTATTTCCGAAAGCATTTTCTTCTCTCACCACTGCGATTTCGATCGTTTTCGAAAGACGACCTGACTCTACAATTACACGATAACAACTTTTTACTGTCTGAATCGGGAAATAAGCTGTTGTTGAATTTTTAAGTGACATAATAATAAATGTATATTTAGTGATCTATTTTTAATGGAATTTTAATCCATTAACGACCGATAGCAGATTTCTTTGTGATAGGACTGTTATTATCAATGAAACGATTTTATAATGATGAATTCCACAAAATTGAATGTGATTGTCAATGCAAGGTCAATAAACGTTACCTATTTAATGACTTTAGCATTAATCGACGAGATTTTTAAAAAATAAAAATAATGATAATTTAATTAAACTTTTTTATATTATGATTATGCAGTCTTTTTAAAGAATATAAAACGTTTTTAATCATAATTACATATATTATATATATTATTTATATATACGTATATAAAATGTAGTTGTACAGGTATGTATTATAAGTCATAATTACCTATATTCATTTTCTACCCCCACTACACATGAAAAATCAGATTCGGATATATTTTGTAATTAAGTGTCAATTTGCTGCTAATTTATTGTTCTAAGTGCGAATTTACAGCTTCTAGCTTTCTATTAGCTTTCTAGTAAAAAAATAATATTAAAGATTAACTTGCCTTTATGTTGGCACATCCACTTCCAAAAAACATTTACAGCGAATCGTAAACCAAAAGACAATTATACTAGAATTTGTTGTTAATTAAGTGCTCAAAAGTACTGCAAACAGATTTTGAAAATATTAAGACACATTTTATAGACATATCAACATGACATATTATGAAGATATAAAAGTAAGATCATTAAAAATAAAAAGATAATAATACCAGCTTGTTATAAAATTGATTCTTGAATTAATTGCTCTCTAAAAATAAACTATTTAGGAATTTATTGCTCATTTTTTAACTTAGAAAAACAAGCCGAAGGTGACGGTGCTAGCTTGCCTACAAGAGTAAAATACATTAAGGGCCGGTTGTTCCAACTTCTTGGTAGATTTACCCGTCAATCACCCATTAGATAAATATCAATATAAATAGAGACCTTAATACGGTTATTGGAATACAGAGTAAAATTACCTTTTGGTAATAACAATTTAACCCATAGATAAATTTTACCAATAGATAAAACAACAATTATTGACAATTATTGATTTATCTAATGGGTAATTGACGGATAAATCTACCAAGAAGTTGGAACAACTGGTCCTAACGCAATTAATTGCTATAATGTTCTTGATCTTAAAATATTTCCCGAATTAATTGTGATGTGTAAGATATTCGTTGTGTTTTTCGGAAATGTGGGATTGCTAGCATAATAGTGAATCAACATCTCCATTTTTAATATAATTTTCTTACTAATGAATAGGTGTTACAGATTTTATATGAAATTTTTAGAATCCTTTTTAAAGGTAGCGCACCCTTTGTCATACCGGTTTATCGAGTCCCGCGTTAATCTCGGACAAGCGAGTTTCCTATGGTATGCACGAAAACATTTAATCAGGTTGTATTGGAATATCGACATATACAGGATGTAGTAAACTCAGCGATAAATTATCGGTTTCGCAGTTATAATTTCCGTTTTTCGCGAATCAAGCTCTAAAATTGCAAATAGGTGAAACTATTTTTTTATTTTTAATTTTGAATTGACTTTAATAGGTTTTCATTCAGGTCTTGGCTATATACTGATATATCTAATGTTAAGACATAAAGGTATTTTTTTTTTCATTGTGTTTATGCAGATATGTATAATAAAATTGCGAGAACGAAGATGAAGGCTGCATCTTAAAAATAATGACCTTACGTTACTACGAGCGAGATAGCGGAATTGTTCTTTTCCGCCTCGATCATGTCGAGAAAGTCTTCAATTATCTTATTGATCGCATTACTGGTGTGCGAGAGGCAACCCCTTCCTACATCCTGCATGGTAAAATTGTATGCGAACGATATATTGTATAAGGGCCATTTCAAAAGCGTGTCACCCCCATGGCGTGATGAATCATCACACTTTAAAGTCGATCAAATATAATACGACATGTTGTTTGCAGACAGAGATCACTTTTTCTTTTTACGCGCGAAAAATACTTCTTGGAAAGGATTAAACGATTTGTAACTATTTTTTTACAGCTTTGTACGTACTTATTGATATGTATATTGTACATTTGTCACGCTTAATATTTAATATCCATTAATTTCACTTATGCTTGTTTTCATGCTATTTATTTCTCACACGTGATATTTTATCTTAAATATAGTTTCTTTATTTATGTTCTTGTTTTCCTTTTCTTAATCCAATTTTTTCCCGATTAATTATTTTTTGCTTTTTATTATAAAAATTGTATCTTTTGCAAATATTCGAAACTCTCGATGTTAAGAAATGTAATTATTTTGAAATAATAAAACATTCTGCTGTAATTTCAAAATTAATAAATAAAATTAATAATAAAATAATAAAATAAAAAATTATAAATTATAAATTACAAAATTTATATTTTATAAAAATTATAAAATATAATAAAATAAGTAATATTAATAATAAAATAAAAAACATTAATAGATATAATCACGATTAACAAATCATGTACATTACGACGAAGTATTGTAATAAGCGCAATTTTAGAATGGTATCCTTCTTTGAGATTTCATTTTTTTCTTCAAACTCGGTTGGCTGTAAAGACAAAGTGTGAAAGAACGACATGTACTCAGCAGTGTTTTTCCAACGAATTACCCGTCACCCTTTCGCTGTTGTTCTTGACAGGATGATTCTTATCCTTGTGCATTCGAGCATATACTTTTTTACATCGCCGTAAGCACGATCACACGAGATGCGTATTCAAATACTGAATCAGAAGATTAAAGTGTATACATAGAAAATTATTTTTATAAATAAATAAATAAACGAAAACATTTATGGCGCTTTTAATTGACTATGCAAAAAAAGATAAGCATGATGCATACTGGACAATGGAAAATTTTATGAGTATGCAGGATGTCCAGTTTTTTCGGTGTTGATATCATCTTCGATGAGACGAGAACGGCTATCGCATGTTT